CCGGTGTTTTTCTTCTCGGGACCCATTAGCCTCAGCTGCATGTAGGTGCTTGCGTTAGATGACTTCATGTATAGGGTTCATTGACGGTTCATCGCTGACACTTCAGCCGATTGCGCTGTCATTCTTTTAACTCAGGGTAGTTTCTGTCTGACAGATACCGCGCCATGTTTGTGGTTTTGGTCCTGCTGTGTCAACTACATGGGATGTTTGCGTTTCCTCACTGCGCAGGAAGATTAAATAACTTGAAGCAACCTGAACAGAAAGACGGTAACTTACTTTTAACGTGATTTTATGCTTTCCAAAATAAAACTGTGTCTAACTTTGCTTCTGCTGAAAAATCTTTTTATGTATGTAAATAGTTTTGGGTTTGTGGTTTTTGTTTACTTAATTTAAAAATTAAGCTGGTTTATGCTTAATTTTAGAATATTTTAGTATCTTTTGCTGAAATGATAATTGACTTGGGTGTCAAGATTAAGTATTTATCAGATCCAGTAGGACGTGCAGATTGGGACAACTGAGCTTTCTTTAGGTCTCTGGGATTATTGTCATTGCTAGAACCAGAAACCTCTAAGTAACGTCAAAATTCCAGAAGTTTGAAATCTGTATTAAGACAGTACTGCTTGGGTGCTATTTGAGCACATCACAGTTTTATTTGTGTATCAAATATTGCTTTGTATTTAAAAGGGTGTATTTGTTTTTTTGAGATTGGTATTTTTTCTCAATACCAGATCCCCTTACAACACCTTGAAAGGTAAACATAGTGCTGCTATTGCAGTTCTTCACTATGGAGGGAGGGAAGTGGAAAGGAATTGAGGCAAAAACAGATGAAGTTCCTGAAGAGGACTTAAGCACTACAATGCTAAGCTGTGTGAAACTTCACATTTAAGCTTAAGCATCAGGGCTTCAAAAAGGAATTTGTAACTTAGCTGTCCAGTCCCCTCAGTGGGTAAGGAGTGCTGAAACCTTAAGACAGACTTTAAAAAGTCATCACATTGAGCAGGAGGTTCCTTCAGGGCAGTACATTGAGCAGAAAACACGGCTAGCAGAAAAATGCTTGAGACAGGTTATTCATTAAAATCCGTATTGCTCTGGGGCATAAAACATTGGGCTGCCAGGCTGCCTCTTTCCTGTGAGTTCATGGTGTAGAACCCTCTCCTGACAATAAGCCCAGATCATGCCGTTAAAGACAGAGCTGGAAAGAGAGGGGCCCAACTCTTTATCCAACAGTTCAGCAAGTAGAACAGTTGCCAAGGGTATGGGGTACCTGCAGGGAGAGGTTACCCTTTCAGCATTTTCTGAACATCTTTTACCAGCAGTTACTTTATTCAGCACATTGTATGGATGCATTTGTAATTAAACGCTAGGCATCCTAAAACCGGATTTACCATTTTGTTGAACCATGGCCTAAGGACTGCAGAACTGCATTCAGTTCCCTCACGTATAGGAGAGAATTCAAATTCATTGGTTTCATTCTCCAAATACTATCTTAACCACCAGGTTGTAGGTAATTTGGAGATGGAAATAGGTATACTTTGACTATGTCCTATAAAATGAAAAAAGTGCAGATAAGTGGATAAAGACTCTTTCAAAGAGAAAAGGAGCATGCATCACTGGGAATTAGGGGTCCTAGGCTCCAGGCAGCTTGTGTATGCCTTCCATGTTAATTAAAATGCATCAATTACCTAAGTTAATTAAGAAGTATAGTGAATACCACTTGCATGGTAAGGAATGAAACACTACTGAGCAAAACTGAAGATCTCTGCTTCAGAAGATTGAAGTTATTCTCGCAATTTGCACTCAACCAAGATATTGATAATACCTTTCTTCCATGTAATTCCTTCCCCTTTCCACTTGTGGGTTTGGGGGATCTTTTTGGATGAAGTCCTTCTCTCTGGTTACTCTTAGATACAGCATAAATATTTTAAGCTTAGATTTTCTTGCAATTACTTTAGAGTATGTGTGCACACGTGTGGCTCCTTCAATATGTACTGTATTATTATATAAATATATACTGTAATATTCTATAAATATATATGGTAATATTCCTTCAATATATGATAATATTAAGGAATAAACCACCAATACGCAAGTTACACTGCAGTTTTCTTAGTTTTCAGACAGCAAACCATTTTGAGATACCGTTGCAAGATCTAACAGTAACTATTAGGGTAAAAATTCCTAAATGATGTGATAATCTCGCCAAACAAGCTAACAAGAACACAGAGCTAATTTGTAGCTGAATAATGTTATTCTGAATCTCATCTCCTTTTTTAGCCATCTGGCTTGGTACGTAACAATGCTGTTTCTGCATTACACTTGCAAAAATAATCCTCTAGTCATTTTGCTTAATGAAATAGTCTGAATTTCTTGGAGTATGGATTAGGCTTTCACTGAAAAGCAAGCCACAAAACTAGTTCTGTCATATAAAGATTTTTTTTTTTTTTAAAGAAGTTGTAGCAAGAGCAGGTTAAAACTTGACTATGGAAAATGCCCGGTGAGCAAATGCATTCCTGTATTCCAAAGCCTGCGATAATTTCACTAACTCTTCTGGAATCTCACCTCACAACGTACTCCATGAAGCCTCACGTAGCCTGTAATAAGCACAAAAGAAGAAAAGAATTAAATGGCTTCAGAAGTGCCTGTTGTCAGTAAAACGCCTATTACAGACTAATTTAAAACAAACAAACTTGGCAATACGCCAGCCTTTACATAAAACTTACTGCCGTGATTGTGAAAAGAGAACAAATGTAAAACAAATAGGACTCTGCTGCCATGATTTAAAATCCAAATTCCATAAACAAAATTTGGAACTCACAGATACCAGAATATTGATAAATGTATATTGAGGATTCTATAGAAGGAAGAGTTTTTTTGGTCTTTTTCCTTTTTTCCCCGCTCCCTTGCCTCCTTCCTCCAGTAGGTCAGTGTCTTGCTGGGTTTGCGTCTGACTGAATTTCTGCTTTATGCAACTGTCACTTTGTTCTTAAGAGCTCCAGTAAAAAACTGATGCCCACATCCCAGAGGAATAATACCAAAACTTGAACAACAACTGTCAGGAGAATCAAATTCTCTTGGCCAGTACAAGGAATAGCTGAAAGACTTTACAAGAAAGGAAAATATGTTTCTTTTATATTGCATAGTTAAAAAGTTAGCAGCAAATAAGACATTTTAGGAGGAGACCTTGATGTTTCTTTTTCCTGTATGTAGTTGAGAGATGCTAGGGGAAGAAAGGGTCTCAATGTACTCCTTTAGGATGTTAACCATCCTTTAAAAATACCAAATTTAGTTTTCCTAACTTGTTTTAAATTTACTTGATTTTTTTTTTTAATTAGTGTTCACATCAGAAAAGGAGGCCAATTTATTCATTGGACGGCATCTTCTGAATAACAGATTCGATTTCGAAGCATTCACAGCGGATAACCTGGAAAGAGAATGCTTTGAAGAGCTGTGCAATTATGAAGAAGCGAGAGAATTTTTTGAAGACCCTGATCAAACGGTAGCTGTTCAAACTGAATTTAATGTACTGAAGGAGATTATTGACTAAATCATTACTGTATCTAAATACTGTAGCCCTTCTGAAAACAGCACTTAAAATGATTGGGTTTTTTACTGTAAAAGTAGAGGCCCCAATTAGATGGGGTTATTGCTTTAGATACACAGTGAATACACCTGAATATGTACTATTGTCTTAAAAACTTTAGATAAGGGTTCCAATTCTGCAAACAAATATAAATGAAACTTCAGACATACCACTTGTGGATATACCTGTATGTGTTTTCAGAATCTCTTTTTTTTTAAGTAACTTCTCAGCATCCAATTTGAATGTGTTCTGCATGCTCTATGTATTAATTGGCTGATCGTGTCCTTCTGTCATGCCAAAGAAGTGTTTTAGAAGAGAGGAGTACGGAGCAAATCCGCAGTTCAGCTATTGCTGAGTATTCCTATAGTATTATCTTCTAAATCACTACCTATACACAGCTTAGAAGAAACCTGGTATAAAAAGAGAGAAAAATATGTAAGAAACCTTTCAGCCCAATAACAGAACATGATGACTGTCTGAAGACTGGCTCTTGCTGCATGCAGCAAGAATCAGTTTGTGATTCTAGGTGTGCTCTGCAGTAACCTGCAGAAAGAGCAAGGACTACACTCCTATTCTGAAGATGGAAATGTTAGTTTGCCATTGCTAGCATTTTCCTAAGAAAAAGGTGAAAGTGTTAAATTGGAATCTTGATGGAGTCTTTTGCTGGGTAGCAAAAGTGGAAATTATAGCTACACACATTTAATGCATAACAGTCATGCAACATAAAAGGTTTTTCTCTTAAATGAATCCCATTATTTTTCCTAGCTGATATGAATTCAAATACTGTTCATGCAAACGTCTGATTCTAAGAACTTGACTTTGCCTCATTAATAATCTTATGTAGGGATTTACAAAGATTAATTTTAAGCATTTTTTTAGTGTCAGAATATATGCTAACTTCTACTGTAATCAGGCAGAAATATGAGGTAACATTGGACAGTTAAATGGGCTTTTCTCTTTCACCAGCTGGCATTCTCTCCTTTGTGAAATTGTAATTTTTATGCAGACCTGAACGTATGAGAAAAATACAGTGGGATAAGCAAGTACAAATCCTTCAGCGGGAGTTGCTTGTGTTTATGCCATGGATAAATTTTGCCCACAGTACTGTATTAAAAAAAATTGTCAATAAGCCTGCCAATTATGTAGCTCATATAAATATGATCCTTTGTGTATTTATAGATGGATTTTTGGAAAGACTATTCAACTAAAGGCCCTAAAATAAAAACAGGTAAGACATCTTCTTATTCTTTTCTTATATTGCAATATTTTATGTTTGTTTTAATAGTACATTCTTAAAAATACACCATGCAGCCAGTTAGCAAAATCAGAATTGATCTTTTTACTGAAATTCACTGTGAACTGTGCAAGTATGTTGCATTATCTGATGCAATAAAACACACTCACTGAAGCATCTTACTCACAGGGGATCCATTATAAGTCTGTAGGTAAAAACAATAAGAATTTTGTTGTCCATTTCTTTGTTTTATTATACAATCAGTAAAATTTGCAGTAATTCTGTGGCTTTGTTTTGTTTGTCCTGCTCCCCCCCACCCCCATTTCTTTAATAGTAATATAACAGGCTGATTCAGGTTCAGAGTAGTCTTATGCTAGATGTTTTATAACAAAAAAAAAAAAGTCAGTATGACTTGAGGAAACATCTACAGCCTGATCAAAGTCACAAGTACATGAAGTAATATTTGGAAGGCATTTGAAGACAGACATCTCAAGAGTTTTATGTGCAGAAGAGAGAGTATCTACTCACTCTTGCTTTAAGCTGAATGTGAATGATACTCTTGGGTTGTGTTACACAGATACGGCTTCTCATCACAACCTAGACATTTGTGGAAAGGAACAGCCTTATAGCACAGCAAAATTAGCATTTCATAGTATATATGGTATACTATGTAGATGGAAAGAACACATAATGAAAGTAACCAATGTTTTATCTTCAGGTGATGAGACACTACAAAAGATTAATGTTACAGGACTTCTCATCAGTCTAGTTGCTGCTGGAATACTGTTAGTTATAATTGTACTGTTTATCTTCTACTGCTGCAAAAGTAGATGCAAATCAAGGCAACCACCAGGGTAAGGAATTTCACTGCTTGAAAAAAAACAAACACCAAAACAAACTCTTGCTTAAGAGTGGAATTTAAAAATCACTGTGGGTTGGTCTAACTGTATTCTCAGAGAATCCAATGGGCGTTCTCACTTTCCTAGAAGCAAAGTTAGGTGAGCATGAGCAGTAGTTATGCTGAAGTTAATTAATAACACAAAAACATAAATCAACACTTGCATGGCCGACGTACCTTTGGGGTTTTTTTTTTTGTGTGTTCTTGGTTCCAAAATATTCTTACTAAAAAGATGGAATCATTTTAATAGGTCGGGGCCTGCAACGTAAAGTCTAACATGTTCTGTTTGCTCTTTAAAGTAGGGTGTATGCTCTTCATGGCATGTAGTCTACTTCAGATGTCAAATAAAGTAGGTTGGAGGAAATGCTTCTCTACCAATTCTCTAGCCCTTCTTGTTCCTTTATCCTAAACTTGAAAGGCATACAAGAGGATTCCATGCTTCCTCTTCCCTATAAATTTCACATTCCTGAGCTATTCTTACCCTGTGGTTTGGAGAGAGCATTTAGCTTCTGGTCTTTATGATCACTGAAGGCAAGTGGGTTTTGGTGTTGGGTTTTTTTGTTTGTGGGTTTTTTTTGGGTTTTTTGTGTGTGGGGTTTTTTGGGGGGGTGGTTTTGTTGTTGTGTGGTTTGTTTTTTTTTTTAAACAACTAAGACTTCATATTTTTCTTCCCTTTGAAACACAAGCTGCCACTTATAACTGTTAACTTTGTTTAGGTACTTGGATTATGTAAGAACTAGAAGACGTAATTCATCTAGCATCTTCAGAAGGCACGAAGAATTTTCTTTGAACCCTATTCCTCTCAGAACTGATGATTCAGGACTACCAACTTATGAGCAGGCAGTTACTTCAGATGGACAACACGACGTGCCACCACCCCCTTATCCAGGGCCCCCAAAAGGGGCCCGGGTGTTTAAAAAGTCTATGTCACTTCCTGCCCCTTAGTCACAAACCTTCTGGGTTAGGTGGGAATTACTGAAACATAACATACTTTTTTAAAAAAGTGTGTGCTACCTTGCATATTGCAAGACAGTTTACAAAAATGTGAAAGATCTTTAGCACAACTAGGAACAAGTGAAAATCCCATTTGGGAAAAGAGGTGATCTGTTGCAAAGGCTGCAGGACTATTCTTTGCACAGAATTCTTACTGCAGTTCTTACTGCGCTAAGAGGAGGGAATGTGCAGAGTATGTCTTGTACTGCCACCCTCTTCCATATGCACTTTGAGCCACCCCATCATACTATTGATGTTTCATTAATAATTTCATCTTTTTTTTTCTTTAGAAGGAACAGTATTTTAATTCTTTTTATTGACACTAACCATTTTTTGTGATTATTAATACTTTAAGCCACTGTAAGAAGTCTACTTTGTTGATATATTCACTTCATTGCTGTGTGAATTTTCTATTCATTCTAGTAATAGATTTGAGTATGAAAATTATTTCATGATTTGATCTTTCAAATGTATATATATATTACTGCTTCTGGATTACACTGGTTTGTTTTAGACATTGCTGGTTAACATACTACTCAATTTGTTGTATTTTTGTAATTATAATTTTGGATGAAAAGGAACCATTAATTGCATGGCACATTACCCATTCAGACAAAGTAAACTTTCATCAAAGTACTTTTATCTTATTTTGATATTCACTTCAGCCTGGTATTTAGTGCTGAACAAATAGAGGGTATGGGTCAGGGATGTTAAGCAAATAGCTAAAGATTTGTCCCTTATTAAAAAAGTACCCAGGTTTCACAGATAATGTTTCTCTTGCAGTTTAAAATATAAATGTTGAAAAAGACATTTAGTTTTTTGAATCAAAGGCCAAACTGCCCCACAGAAGCACTTTGCATAAGTAGGTATTGCCCTACTGGGATGACGAAATGGTACCTTTAAGTAGAATGAAACATCATATTAGATAAATAACCAGCATCCACAGAGCAATAGGCAAGAATTTCAGGGAGTTACTGGTTAGCTGTATCAACACAACTTCTGTATCTCCAGTTGTAGCCACCCTTAATTTTACATCTTAATAAAATATCAACCCCCAGCATTATATGGCCTACAGGTCTTGCTGAGCCGGTCACAGACCAACGCTGCTGTCCCTTTACCTCCTAGGCAAATGGCACCGTAGTGGAAAAGGCTTCCCGTAGCCACAGGAAGCCGTATTAGGGGGTCTCCCAGGCAACATGTCAGGCCGGTGTTTCCTTGTACTACAGTAGCTGTGTGGTTGGACGCATGCAATGAAGTTTTTTAAGAAGCAACAAATTCCCGCCCTGACACACACTCCCTTTTGACCAATGCTGACAGCAGCAAATGGTATTTTCATTTGGTGCCTAAAATGCACATTATAAAGGTTGAACATTTATATGTAACATTTCACTGAATTTTATGGGTTTTTAATGTGCTAGAACCTACAGTGCTATTGAGCGAGATGCAGAGGATTGCTGTGAGATTTTTAATCTGTAAATGCTTTTGTAAAGAAGGAAATGCTCCAAATCTTGGAATATAAAGAGGGTATATTGAAAACGCTACACAAGATCTTGCGCTTTGAAAAATACATACAATCCACCTGATATCAGTGGACATTGGACATCTTATTCCTAAAGCTTCAGCATCAGATTCGGCTTTTGACAAGTCACAAACCTCTTTGCAGCTTCTTTCTTGAGAGATGGAGGAATCCCTTTGTTGGGATAGCTTCAATTCACTTCAGCCCTATGTGTAAAAGCATTTTGAAGTTCTTGGAGGTTACTGTTCTGCAAGACTGAAGTGAACTGTGTGAGATCACTGTTGATAACCACAATACAGAGTTATGATGAAGCTGTGGAATTACAAGCTTGCAAAAACATTTCTCCCGTATTTTCTTTTCATGTAGCTACCAATTTTTAAATTTGTTAATGTGCATCTTGAGCTATAGAGCACACTTTTCGCTACATTTTTCTTGGGACTCAAAAATGACTAATTTAATGGGACTGATAGGAGCACTTTCAGGGAAAGGGATTTCACAGGACTTGCAAGAGTTCAGAGATTCTTTAATGTTACTACAGTGATGTACGCATCTGGCAAAGTCACATTTTAAATAAACTACAGAAAGTGTACAGAAACCTATTTAATCACTTGAAATTTGATTCTTTGACTATTCCTACAAATCATTTGCAAATGATTCCATGCAACGCAAGCAAAAATTTTTACCTTCATAATTAATAAAAAAACCTTAAGATGGTGTAACTGTTAAACATTAATGCTATAGCTCTTTGGGCAGTAAACTGCACCTTCTGTAGGGTGTAACACTTCAAATTTACTCAAAGAATCTGCGCTTTAGACCTTGAAGATACTCAAAATATGCAGTGACTGACATTCAAATACTGTTTGCATGTAACATGACAATTTGCAAGACACATTCTGTTCATTAAAAATAAGGAGCAAAGTTTAAAATCTAGTTGAACACAATATAAACTTACCTCTCCTTGTAAAGGGAGAAAATTCTCTTGAATGGCAGTGGTTTGGATTGAGTTTATTTTTCTTCTTTCATACATTGCCTCCTGGCCCAAGATACTCTTACCTTGTTTCTTGTCTCTTTTTAGAACTTCTGATTCGTCAGGGTTAGCAGAGGAAAAACCAACAAGAGGTCAACTGTGGTGACTTGTGAATTCAGAAGTATTGCCACATTTCCCAATTTTACATGCAGCTTCCTTTGAAAATGCAGTTGCTATTTAGAATATAGGAAACAGCAAATGTAAATGTCCTTAGGTGGGGGGAGGAGGAGGTAGTTTTTGAGGAGCAAAGCAGCAGCAAGTTTAATCTAATTTTTGTACAGATACAAATCATCAGTGTTTTGACTTCTGGACTTTCTTTCAAGGGCCAGTAGGAGAGGCAGTGGATTTTAAGTGAATTAACAGAGATCTACTGTGACAGTTTAAAACAAAAGTGTCTAAACAAAACACTGGGGAAAATTACATAGTACTTAAATCCTGTTTCTCTCAGAACAGGTTTATACATGCCACTTTAAATGCTGTTAGCCATTGCCTTGAACAACTTTCCAAAATGTAGCCCTTTCAGCATCATATAAGATCACAGCATGCAACTTTTTGTAAATCAGGACAGATTATTAGTTAGAGCAAATAACTGAGGGTCAGAAAAGTGGTCTCTGGCTCTGTCAACTGAAAAATAAATCAACCTGTTTTTTGCCTCAGTGGCACAAGAAAGCCTACTATTTGATTTATAAAATCCCCTGATGAATAGTATTGTAACCATTATGTTTTTCTAGTTTCTTGGGGGTTTTTATGTTGGGTTTTTTTTTTTTTTTGTGAATTTATTAGAAGAGCAAAACCAAAGTGACACATGGAAGTGCACTTCCTCACCACAGTTCATGAAAATGTGAGTCACGAAGCATTTGATTGTGGTCCTACCAAAGTCTATGGCAAGCTTTTTATTGGCTTCAGCTGAACTGGGATTGGAGCCAAAAAAAGAAATAAGTGAATAAAAAAAAAGTATAATGTTCTGCCAAATTATTTACCACAATGCTGTTGCCAAACCTGATTTAAAGTATTCTATTGTTTTAACGATGCTTACTTACATTAACCAGAACATTTGAGGCTCATCTGCCCTTAAAAAGTGTATTTGAAATTTGGAAAGCATAAGAAAATTCCTTGCTTTCCTCAGATTACCAGCTGTGAATAAGTTGCATTAATTACCTGTAGGTTCTTAGCAACACTGTTTGATTACTTTGATCAACAGTACAGGTTCATTTAAAGCTTTTAAAATAAAAAAAAACCCAAACAAAACCCAGTAACTGAACAACCTTTCTACCCACAGTCTCATCTGCCAACGAAAGTGTTATTGCTGCTCTCCTCACTTGTTCCATGTGGTGTAGAGAACAGGAAGGAAACCCCAGGTTTAAAGGCCATCCAAGCTTGCTCTTTCTAGACTGTAAATGTCTTTCTAGACTGTAAATGTCTTTAAATTAATTCCTAGCATATGCAAATTTATCACTATTATCATTTTTCACAATCAAGAAGTTGCATGTATTTTCCTCTCAAAAATTTTAAGCACATCTTCCCAAATACCCTGCTCTTTATTCATGTGGTAACTTTTGACTGTTTCCAGTTATTTCTGAACTGTGTAAACAGTTCTTGTGACTTAATCTTATGAATGTATTTCTTTCTCATCTGACAAAGCCTTTTGAATGCATTTGTCACTGGTTGTATTTAATTCTAACTTTGATGTTCAGTGCTGTCATTTTGTTGAGAGAAGGGTTGCAATATTTTAAACTCTGCTAGTTTCTGTATTATTTTGTAAAACAATTTCCAAATAAACATTTATGCAAGTTTATCATGGCAAAAGAGAGAATGCTAATTCAGCCTATGATAAAAAGCTAATAAACCTCCAATGACCCTTTTTTTAATTTGGGTTTTGTTTTTTTTTTTTTTTTAAATGAAGTTGGTAACAGCATGCACTATTCTTCATGCCATATAGCACCTACCGACAGGAAAAAAGGGTGATGGTTTGTTTTCTTTTAACATTGGCAATTTCTGCTCTGGATAGAAACTTCCTACTTCACTGCTCTAGTTCACTTAAGCATCTGAGGTTCTGAACCATGAACTGCAGTCACTGAAGTCTGCAAGACAAACAAGCCAACTGAACTAGGTGTTGTACCTTCCATCTTCATTGACTTTCAGCAGACCTTTGGTGAGAAGATTTAACACAATAATGTGGCCGAAAAATATCCACTTTCTTAGGGTTAGTGAAGTGAGCAAGATCACGCCAGTGAGGACCAGAACAGGCAAGCAAAAGCAACGCGGGAAGCAGGACTTCCTTAATGGCAATGGTGACTTCAATCTGCAGTGAAGGTACCGCACTGTGCAATGAGGATAAACTTCTGCAGGGAGGCAGGAGGGATGGATGAGGGCAGCTAGATGGAGCAAATACAGTGGCACAGCAAATTA